AATAAGATGGCTTGGTAAAATACATAGAGGAATCGAGAGATGGGAAAGATGTGATAAAGCAGGTATAGAAAAAGTGAATGGTAGATTCTAGGTGGTGGCTATATAGTGATCACTGTAAAATTCATTCTGTAAAAAACTTTTCTGTATGTATGAAATTTTTCATAATAAAATGTTGGAGAAAATATAAACTATCCTTAAAGGCCTAGCTTATGGCCCACCACTTTGGGGAAGGCTTTCTAGATTCCCCGAGTTATTTGTGGCCAGGTACCCATGCAGGCTACTAGAACCTCTTTCATGGCAGTAGTTGTCATCTGACGTGTAGAGCTGATTTGCTCGCGTATCTTAGCCCTTGTGTGGGACAGTAAACTCTTTGTTGGCAGGCAGGCAGTCCTCTCTTTATATCCCTGATGCATCAGACAGGCATCATAGGCACAAAGTAGATGGTCCTCACATGACTGTAGGATTAGTTTAGGAATATCATGATTAACTTTAAAGTTAACTTTGTTGAAATTCATTTTTGGAATGTAAGGTTCACTGGATGAAGTGCCACCATTTGTGTGTGTGTGTGTGTGTGTGTGTGTGTGTGTGTGTTTGGAAGAGATAGAGAAATGAGGGTTCACATTTCCAGTGTCCAACATCCTGATCATGGCTGCAAATAAGACGGTGCTGTGTGGACAAGAGACCCATTGCCAATTACACCTGTGGTGGCTGGTGCCGCTGAGCTCCCTATCCTTGTAAGGGAATTCTGTAACTTAGTACCATGACTCAAATCCAGAGCTCTGGACTGTATGGATCCACTCCCTTTAGAGGGCCATTCTATAGAAAGAAAAATAGGTCTCAGGACGTCTTATCAGGATCACTGACAAGAATCCATTCAGAACCTAGTTGATTTTCCCAAAATATGTATAACCCCAAGCAGCCAAAAAAATATTCCACAATCATTTGGAATGGCATACTTGTTTCCTAACAGGTGAGCATATTTTAATTCTGGGAAGATTTAGAAATAAAAGTAAAAGATGTTAATAGAATCAAAGCTATAGTATTAATAGTTTTACTTAAAGAATATATGCATATTTGATATTTCAAGTTAATTATTTAAAATAAGTTGCCCCTCCATAAAATAAAATAAATTGGCCCATTTAACAGGTTAGCCTGTATTTCTAAATTAAAATGTGCCAAGGGGTAATTAATGTAGACTTGATTTGGGGTAGGGTTGAGGTCTTACTAGATTTGTAAGCAATATTGGAGTATTTAAGATAATTTATTAAGTTTTTAAGAGTTGTTTAAGAAAAGGTTTTATAAGTTGAATCACATAGTTCTAATGTTGAAAAGAATTAAATACATTATAAATTAAATACAGTTTTAAATGTTTAAAGGAGTTTAGGTTTATAAAATGGGCCAACCATTATTCGAATGGACCTTTGAAAGTGATTATAAAAATTATAATGTATGAGTTGAAGTTAAAATTTAAGAGTGATCTAGGTATTAAAGGTTTTTCTTTTTTAAAAAAAAAACAACTAAGCAAATGAAATATATATTTTTATTAACAGGTAAACCTAAATAGTGTTTTTCTGTGCACAAAGCCACCCTGATGGTCATTAAAAAATTCATATGAAATAAAGTGATTAACACTGCTTCGATCACAGTAGATACTTCATGTTAGTTGAATTTGAATTTTTAAAATTGTAAAAATAGCCCAGTCGGAGTTACTCAGTGGTTGAGCATTGACCTATGAACCAGGAGGTCACTATTTGATTCCAGGTCAGGGCACATGCCTGGGTTGTGGGCCTGATCCCCAGTAGGGAGCACGCAGGAGGCAGCTAATCAATGATTCTCTCTCATCATTGTTGCTTCTCTCTCTTCCTCTCCCTTCCTCTCTGAAATCAATAAAAATATATTTTTAAAAATTATAAAAATAAAAGTCTCTAGGAAAAAGAAAATTTGAATCAATGATATTCCTTAAGGAGGCAAGAAGAAACACATAAGAACCTCAAGTTAATTACTCTTTATGACTTGAAATATGGTCTAAAAGAAACACATAGTTTTGAAGGGTCATTTTGTAAAGCATAGGGATGTGAGAGTTACAACAAGCATTCAGTGAAATGATGACGGTAGCATAGAGTTCTGCACAGTAGATACCCAGTGAGTGCCTATTGGAGAAGTACCAATTTTTAGAAATATTGTAATCAACATATGAGTTGATATTGTTTAACTCCAAGGGATGCCATTTGTGTAGACTCCAGATTCTATGCAAATGTGGCCATCCTAGATATTGACCTCATTCATTCAGCCAAGTGCCATAAGAAATTAAAAGTTAGTTGTATAGGTGATGTGTCACATGTAACAAGTAATTCTCTCTGCTTTCATAGAGAATATGCTCGTGTGAGGCAGGAGACATTTTTGCCATCTGAATAAGGTTCAGATAAAATTACATGTAAAACAGAGCCCTGGATTTATTTCATCCTGGCCACTCAGACGTCCTGGCCTCACTGTGCACCCTGTCCCTGAACAGGGTGCACAGTGAGGCCCCGAGCTGGAGCATGCTTGGCTCGTCCGCAGACATTGTCATTTAGGTCTGGCTTCTGGTAATTAGGCACTCCTAGCTGGGCTCTGCTGTCCGCGAGCCTTTGAGACAAATTGCAAAATCTGTACAACCATCGGAGAGATGGAGAAGTAGACCCGATGACACTACAAGGAGATATTGGTAGTTCTCAAAAGTTTGAAAGGGAATCCTTAGAGAAGCAATCCTCAAAACTGAATTTCCAAGTTCTTTTTTCGCAGTTGAAGGGTGAGTTCAGTTATAGAATCAGGATCTGAGATGAGAAGATCCCGACAGGCTGGAATGACAGGCTTAATCTAATGGGATGAAATACAATAGGAACAAATCTCAGTTTCTGTATTTGGATCTGAAAATTGTAACTATGCTTAAAAGGACTGGACACAGGGTGGTAACCCATATGAAAGGAACCTAGGAGTTCAAATTGATGCAAGTTGGCAGTTTATCGTGGTCCCCCCAAATCAGAGGCAGTGCTGCATGAGCCGGTAGAGTATTTGGGAGGAGTGAGGTGATGCACCCACTCTGATGTGGAGCTGTCCCAGCAGGAGCATCCCTGCAGTTCTGGGCTTCAGGCTTTGCAAGGAAAATAGACAAAGGATGGTCACAGGATGTGTGTGGGGGGCAGTGCTGCAAAGCTTGTCACAGATGACAAAGGAACAGGGGAGGCTTGGCCTGGACACAACTCCAGGCAGACCTGAAAGCCGTCATTAATATCTGAAACTTAGTCATGTGCATCAGTGACTAGCCTTGATTCTTGTGAAGAGGGACAAGAAGAACCCGAGGAAGAAAGTTACAAGAAGCCACAGATAAGGAGGGTCCTTTTAATCTTAAAAGTTTTAAGATGAAATGGACCGCTTCCTGAATTCTAGAAGTGCTGGCTTCGGCTAATAAGGACTTCGACTTTTAAGAGTGAGAGTGGATGACCCAGAGACACTTTCCAGCCCCAAAACTCCACAATTTCTTTGTCTTCTAGGGCTGACGGCGCATTGCACGGTCCTAGCACAAGCAGGTGGTGGACAGAGCCGCACTTACAGGAATGTTCTAGACCAGTGGTTCTCAACCTGTGGTTTGCCAACCTGTGGGTCGCGACCCCTTTGGGGGTCGAACGACCCTTTCACAGGGGTTGCCTAAGACCATTGGAAAACACATATATAATTACATATTGTTTTTGTGATTAATCACTATGCTTTAATTATGTTCAATTTGTAACAATGAAAATACATCCTGCATATCAGATATTTGTATTATGATTCATAACAGTAGCAAAATTACAGTTATGAAGTAGCAACAAAAATAATTTAATGGTTGGGGGTCACCACAACATGAGGAACTGTATTAAAGGCTCGCGCATTAGGAAGGTTGAGAAACACTGTTCTAGACAATGATGGGGGACAGTATTTAGAATTCTGAGACAAGATTTCCACAAGGACACTCTCGCGTTGGTCTTCATTAGCGCTGCCAATTTTTTACTCTGCCAGGGGAGGTCTGGTGGACGTGGTCACTGCCTTTCAGCAGAGGTTGTGTTATTTCCTTGTTTGTTCTTTCTCAGTGGGAACGGAGCTTGGGGAGTAAGACCAAGTTCTTGCTCTCTTCAGGGAGTATGTCTGGGAAGTAAGACAGCAAGCACAAATTATACAACCAGCTATACAGTTATGATTATAGTTACAGTTTGAACCCATGTCTTGTAAGAGTGGGTTTTTATGTCATGTAGTATTACATTTCCCCACTCAGCTTTGGGGTTATACTTTCCTGTTATATCATAGTTCTTTGAAGTCAGGTAATCTGTTTGAAACTTCTCTCTCCTGGCGGGGTACTGATGGAAAGTCTTTGGGTATACTTTTAGACATTTTCTTCCCTCCACCCCCCCCCACCCCCAAAAAAGAGATTATAAAGCCTTGAGGAGGTTGAGTCATTCTTTTTCATAGACAGTCTTGTGTGTAGTTACTAGTACAGTGACTACTTTTAGGGGGTGTCTGTTTTCATACTATTAACTTATCGTTGTAGGGTTTCTGTGGCCACAGCAGCTCATTCTCTTGTGGCTATAATTTAACTAGAGGTAACTACAAGTAGAAACCTGGGTGAGGAGGAATGGATATGAAAAATAAGACTAGAACAGACAGGGTTTTCAGATTCCCACACTAATGCTTGTATTTGTTGCTTATACAAGTGACCACCCATTTAGAGGCAAGCATGCAAAGAAACAAAAAGGTGCATTTTTAAAAAGCAAATTTCTATCCTCAATTGCCGATTGTAATTCAGAATTAATGTCCCTCATCTTATTTTCTCCTAGTAAGTATTTTTGCAAACAATAATGGCACTGTTTTATTTTCCTAGCATTAATAAACTTACAGCTGCAACAGATTCTGAATTATATTCTTAGCTTTCAGAGGCTTTTAAAAAAATGTTTGTGATCCACCTTATTGTAAATTCTTCTTTCTTGCAGGTAGGAATGAATTGATAGCCAGATACATCAAACTCAGGACAGGGAAGACGAGGACCAGAAAACAGGTAAAATAACCTACCTGGAAATTGTGCATGTCAGCGAATGGCCCAAGGAGGCATTTTGGCTGCAGTGGCTGTCTGTGCTTCGGCTCCTAGGAGCCCCCATTTTGAGTTCCCTGTAAGGACGTCAGTTTAAATTGGTGTTTTAAATTGGCTCAGTTTTCACTGTTCATCATTTCAGTGACCCTTGACTATGTGGTCTTAAGAGCCCTTTTTATACATATGGGAAAGTTTTACTAAGGACAGTACATAAAACTGCTCCTGCACTGTATTTTAAAAGTTCTATTTCTTTCCCAAACTATGCATCTGCAAACACTACAAATGCTGCAGGTGCAAATATACTTGCAGGCCATGAAATTTTGAGATTTTTGTGCATTGTAAAATCCTGTAACAACTACAATATTAGTCATCATTTCAATGAAAAAGTAACGCTAGCAGCCATGAGTATTGGCCTGAATATGATACTGAATGATGTGCGTCCAGGGAACCGTTGCTCCTTAAGCTATGGCTTTGTGTTAGTAGCTGCTGTGACTGAAATGAAGTTACAACGTAAATGTATTTGTGCAGAGCAGTGTCAGGCATTTCCTCTGCCCTTTGTCAGGGCTCTGGCTCTCTTTTTTTCTGATGTAAAGCAGCCCAAATCTCTGACCCAGTTCAAAACTGGAATGGATGAGAAATTCCTGTTTAACCAAAAACAAAAAGAAAGAAAGGGGAAGGAGGGGGCGGGAAAAATCAAACATCTCATGGGTGAGTTGTTAACAGAAAAAATTTTTATTTTTTATTTTTTAATGTTGACTTATGCTGATGGATCTGTAGATTTTAAAAACTACCATGAAACCAGAAGGCAAGCTCAACTGCGGTCTCATTAAGCCTGAGCAGCAAATTCCAGTCCTCTGCTCAGTGACGAGTTGTTTTCATGAGTGTTGATGATGGGGGAGAGCTTTTCCCCAGGAATGCTACATGTGCCCCAGCCGGGGCCTGGCTACTGAGTCAGCACAGAGGGAAGTGGCCTCCTGCCAGTGCTCAGGCCCAGGACATTGTCTGTTCTGTGGATGTTCCCCTGACAGTGTGCAGTGGTCCTCATTAAGTCCAAGTCCGAGAACCACATCAGACCAAAATTCGGTTGGAAACCAGTAAAAGCAGGAGCCGGATGGAGGTGTGAGGAGGATGGGGGAGTTCCTGCTTCTCCGTAATTTTTTTTTTAAAGGCAAAAATTGAAAAAAAAATAATTTAAACTCAAAGACAAAGTTAAAGATAAAAGGATCTTGTATTATCATAAATTCGGGTTGTTTTTTTTTTAGAGTTGCTAGAGTGTTTGAAATAAAGTCATTGTCTCATAGTCTGAGTCGCTGAACTATTACATTGGAGGTTCTAAATTTTTGAAACAGACAAAAACAGATAAGATTTAATTCCCAGCATGCGGAATGTGCTGGACCTGGACCGTCTGCTGGTCCATGGGCTCTGGTCATGTGCCCGACCCCTTCACTGAGGGACTCTTCTAAATTTAACCAAGTCCCGTGGAAAGAGATGCAAATCTATTTACCCAGTGGAATCATTGTGTCTCAGAAGCCAGGCTTGGCTTGGTTTCCATACCCCGGCATCCTGGGGATGTTTTGAGGCAGCAGTTGGTGATACCTCTCCAATGTGAATTTGTTGTTCAGCAAATCCGTGTGGTTTTCAACCCAGATTTTTAACAGGGTGGCTGGCTGGCTGTATTCACACTTTGCGCTTTGTAATAATATGCAAATCCACTTGGCGCCCAGTCAATACCCAAAAGAGTGGAAGGATTAAAGATATTTATAAGGGGGGAAATGCTCTGCTAACTGGGTCTTTCCATTTCACTTTGAGATCTAATTTACATGTCAGTATTATTTTAACATTTGCTACAGAATCCAGAGCTCTTAATGAGATCAGAATACAACCGACAGCTTCAGCTTTTTGATTGTGCAGAATGTGCTAATTTATGGATCGTCTCTTCTAAATTGAGAAAAAGGGATTTTCCCTCCCTATACTGAGAAGCTATAAATATTTTCATTTACCTCTACCCCCACCTTTTTAATTTTATAACGAAAACAACCCCACTCTCCCCCTCTCATCCCATGTCCGTGATTGCTCCCGGGTGAGAAAAACACTAGATTAGCCTGAACTTTCCTCCTGAATCAAGTCACTGCAGTGATGACCCAGTCTGAAAAGCTGAGAGCAGCGCTGGGGGCTTGGTGTCTGGCTGGGACTGTGTATTCCTAACTGCAGAGCTTTGTTGCGATGCAAATAACCTCCCCCCCACCCC